CAGAACTGTCAATGCGGAGGTGTCCATCTGGAGGGAAGAGCAACTTCCCCCTGTGTTCAAAATGCTCCTACTCCAGCTATTCCACAGAGGTCCAGATGACACACACTGAGATGGCTGCCCATCTGCCCTCTGCAGATCTGCACTGTCAGCCACACTGCCATACTCTGGAATGCAGCTCACTGCTCTTGCTTTCTCTGACCCTTGGAGGAAGTAAAAGCTTCAGCTGGCCTTAGGTATTGGTATGGACTAGGACTGTAGCAGAGAGCCACCAAGTGTGTGACTCCACACAACTGTCCTTGCATTCATTCCATGAAGAGAAAGAGATGCTGCTCTTATCAGATTGCTAAAACAGAAATATTATGACCAGATATCTCTGGGCATCTTATAGGGCACTATTTAGGACTTCTGCAGAAATGCTTCCTGTTGAACAGGCAAAGTTAAAATATTCCTGTTTGCTGAAAGTATGTTTGCTTAGGCATAGAACTTCTAATCAACAGGAGAACATTACGCTGTTGTAACATTTGAATCAATTTACATTACTGCCTAATTAACACTGGAACATTTAGCAGCTATTAGAAGAGACATTCTCAAGAGTTCTAGATGTCACCAGAGCTCTCAAGCAAGCTTCTTTCATGCAATACTTCACAGTTAAAATCTGAATCAACAAAACTAAATTATCTTTGACTATATTTGAGTTTCTAGAGGAAAAGTATTTGCAAATATTCCATGCTGATCTTTCTACATGCTAAAATAAAACACACTTCACGTGTTTTAAAACAATCTTTGCAAAATCTGTCGTATTTTTTTATTAGATGGAGTCCAAGTTACTTGGGGTAGAAGGCGCTAGATAAAAGAAATCTCTAAAGAAATTTTTAAAGCAGATAGTGTCTCTTGCTAAGATAATTAAATAGCACTGTTTTCCACACAGAAAGCTTACATAAGCATTTTCAGATATGTAACAGTGCATGTGTGTGTTAAATGAAGAACAGTTGCCTCTGTTTTGAAGACTAGCATTTGATAAAATGCTAGTCTTCAAAAAACCTAGTTCTTGGCTATCCATCATTAAATTCCTAAAATCATAGTCCAGAATTAATGGGTCCACATGTAAGGCTTGGTTTCTTTACAGACCTGAATAAAAGACTACAATTTCAAAAGTGAGAACATATTCATGACTTAACAGAGCTGCATGTTAAGTTTTGTATGAAATTATCTTTATTGCACAAATACAAGCATAATTTAATGCTTTAGTCATTCTGATAATTTGCAAACTGTGACTAGCCTAACCCTATAGAATGTTTTAGTTCATAACTTCAATTGTTGCCTTTAATGAAGTAAAATAACAGAAAAAAAATCTCAGCATATGTAAAGCAAACATATTTTAAAAATCCCCATAAGTATGGCTTCCAGAACTCTTATTCCAGTATCCACCACAGGTTATTATTATTATTATTAAACTACACTAGAAATTTCTCAGATACTGAATTTCACAGACCCTTCACCTTTATGCATCAACAAACATTTTGCTTGTTTCTTAAATATGTGTTTTACCTGGTATGAGTTGCAGCTGTAGCTTCCAAGTCAACCACAGGGTATTTTACTGTTATGACAGAGGCATGCCCAGGAGCCGACATTCCTCATTTAACAAGCAATGTATGGTAATTAGACAGGATTTACGGACTTCTCTCCCTTTCCCCCAGTGTTAAAACTGAATTTTCCAGGATTAAAATTTTCAGGTTTATCCATCTGGAATTTTCAGTTTAGTAAATACAACATTTCTAGAAACTGTCCACAAAACTCTGGTATGCGTTTTTTAGGCAGTGTCAGAAGAGCAGAATGGAACTTTCATTGTAGCAAGGACAGTAAGTTTAACATTAGTATAAAAAATGGTAGGGTGAAAGAAAGATTTCAAGTGCTACAAATTGGAAGCAATACAAAAGAATATGCTTAATAATGCTAGGGAACCTTCTTGCATAAATTCGAAGGAAAAGATCAGGGGAAAGTACCTACATGGTATCCAGAAGAAACATGTCTTTGTTTCACTAGAAGGATTTTAAAAGCAGAGTTAATTTTCTTGTAAAACATATGTTGTTATCATTTTAATACAATCTGCGGAAAATAAACAAATAACCTCCCCCCCACCCAGCACCATACTATCCGGAATTTCATGGAGAATACTTTTTAATATCCCTTTTGTCTCAGAGTTGTGGGGGTTTCCCCCTCAAAAAAACCCCTCTACAGCATTTTTTCACGCATTTTGTTTTATTAAAGACACATAACAAATCCAGATGTCAAGACATCAATTTTTGTAAATCTCTGATAAAACATTCAGCTATCTATTTATCAGCTGTGTGCAAAGTCATACTTTTGTTCTGAAGGAAATCCAATTTTAACATTAAACACCATCTTCATTTAAACTAACATTTTTACAGGAACTGAGGAAAAATCCAGAAGTTCTATTGTTCTGATTTTTCAGAAACACTCATTTGGACAGCATAGACTGGAATTGAGGTTCAGAAGTCAGCAGCAATACTCATAAAAAATGTTTGAATACTTTGGTGTGCAAGAATAAAGGAAGTCTTTGAGAAATGTATCTATAATAGTGAAAAGAGCAAGGCTGGGATACAACAGAAAAACATTTCCAAGTGACAGCTACAGCACCCAAGACAAGAAGAAAATAAATTAGTTTCACAATTATGAATGTAACTTCTGTGAAGCTCACCTTTTTCACTGACTTGGGAGACACACACTCCAAGCCCTTTCAGTATTTAGGCCAGCATTTCAGGAGCTTCTTTATGCATTTTTACACCTCAAAAGAGGCACAAATCTATATTGGTAATAAAAAGTCATGATTGACTGAATAAAGCATAGGCATACAAAAGTCCAGACATACTTGACAATTTTAATTATGTGCTATTCTCTACAGCACCTCTTAATATAGAATATCCTATTTAATTTGTGAAGTTAATCTCTTATTAAATTCAATTTCTGGCACTTTCCTTAAGTATATGTCTTTGATTAAGGTAATGGAAAACATTTTGTCTCTGGAAAAAAAAATACCGCAAATGTAAGATTACATTGTGTTGCCCCTTGTTATGTCAACTTTATTACATTAAGAAAACTTTCACAACAAAATGCAACAAGTTTATGCAGTCATTGTATGAGTTTCTCACAGAACATTTTCAAGTTGTGCAAGAAACACGAGAAACATGAAGAACCAAGAGTTCTGAAAATACAGTTTAGCTGCACTAAGTTGATTTACCTGTCACTTTATTACTGAAGTAAAGTGTTTAACCTGGAATATTATTATTAAAAAATCAAAAACAGACACTTTACTGTTTAGTTATAAATGGATTACAAGAAAAGTGTTGTTACACCATCCCATACCCAGTCTCCACAATATTAAACAGCAATTTTTTCTGATCAGTGTAAGTGGCACAAAGAGACATAGAATTCAAGTATTAAGTGGTTAGTAGCGTAAAATTCAAGTTCAATTATCAATTCAGCCAAATGATGTCAGTTGAAGATGGAAGCAGATTTCACTGGACAATATGTAAAATATTGCCAGCCCTTTGGTTTGTTTCACGCATGTTTCTACACCATTTAGCTATATTTAGCTATTAAAGGAAAAGCGATGAAAATCCAGCCTACTCTTAACCAATGCTCTAGCATTGGGCAAAGGCTGTCCGAGGGCTGCTGGCCAAGCTAACACCCTAAGCTCTTGCAGAAGAGTTACCATCACTGTAATACAATTATTTAACATTCTAACACTTTACTCGGCTCCTTAGAAGAGTGGAGCTTCCTATTTTAAGAAAACCGGCCCGTTTAAATGCTATTAACTATCCAATTAGTACAGTCTGTTCCTTGCTAGCTGCAGAGTACTGGGATAATCTTTTAATTGTTAGCCACTATTGAATAATTTTAGCAATTACACTTTTATACATTCTCTGGTAATTGAGACAGAATATCCCTCGAATTTGATCTTCTCCAATACTCAGTGACAAACAGAACGCAGATAGAAAAAAATACGCGTGTGACCAGGGGTAACGCTAACACCGCAGGGCACCGCGTCCACCTGCAGCGCCCGCAGCAGGCGCGCACGGCCGGCGCTCCCCGCATCCCCCTGAAGGACGCGCTCCGGCCGCTGCGCAGCGGGTCCGGGGCCACTGGGCCGCCTCTCACCGCGCCTCCGGGCTCCGCTCGCCTCCCTGCCTCAGCCCAGATAAACCATCGCCGCCGCCGCTCCCCACGGCTCCACCTGCCGGGCACCCGCGCCCCGCAGCACCCACCCGCTCCCTCGCTCGCTGCCTTCCCCGCCGCGCCGCCACCGCGGGGCGGGCAAAGCCGCCCGGCGCCCCTGCGCGCATCTTCCGCGCAGCCGGGTGGAAACACCGCACCCGTCCCCTAGAGCATCGGCAACTTTCTCTCCTTCCTCAGAGGAGGCGTGCCTCCGGGGGCTGCTGCAGGCGCTCACAAGCAGCCTCACGGCACAGGCTCCCCGCAAGGCAAACCCCTGGAGGTGTTGGAAACAAAGCGGGATTACCTAAAAGGGCACACGTCTGCTCGCGGCCGCCAGGAGCCCCACGCCGGCGGGAGCGGCGCCCTCCGCCCTCCCTCCGCAGGACGGTGCCTGTTGCACGGGGCCCGCGGGCTCCCTGCAGGGCAAAAACCAACTTCGCTTCGCCGGGCACCGCGCCGCCAAGTCGCGCGGGGACAGCGGCCCCGGCAGCAGAGCCGAGCGGCTCGGACAAACCCGCTCCGCCGACAAGGCTGAGCCGGGCTCTGCAGAGTGGGACCCCCCTTTCCCGCCCCCCGCGGCTTCCCTCTGCGCAAAACCAGTTAACCCCGAGCGCTCGCCCTCCCGCGAAAGGCAAGACAGGGGGTGCGGGAACCGACAGGAGGCAAAGTTTGATAAATGAGCAGCTCCTGCAGTGACAGGTGACTACGGAGCGGAGGCACCCTCCGCGCCGGGCTGGGCAGAAGTGCGGCAAAGAAGCACTCACCTGTCCGTTGCTCTCCGGCAGGCGCGGAGGGGAAGGCGGGCAGGCGAGGGACGGAGCCCCGCGCTCCTCTGCCGTCCGTCGGCCCCAGTAGCAAGCAGGATGCCGGGCAGAAGGCCCGCAGAGCAGTGGGGCCGCCCCGGGCAGGCACCCGTCAGCGGAGCAGGTGAAGCGGGGCGGCCGCCGCCACCGGCAAGCAACACGTTTGGCTCTGAACTTTGCAGCTCCAGTCACAAACAAACAAATAGAGCCCAAGAAGGACCTCTCCCATCCGATCCCAGCCTTCTCAGCAGCCGCTGCCTCTCTTATTGGTGCGGAGGTTATTTATTTATTTGATTTCTCCCCCCTCCTTCCCCTCCTCCCCTTCCACACACCCCCCTTCCCTTTCACTTCCCCTATCCCTCCCCCCTCCCCGGCCTTCCCTCCCCTCCCTCACGCCGCGCAGACAGCGCCGGTCCCAGCGCGGCGCACAGCGCGGCCGGGCTGCTCTGCGGCCGGCGGCAGCGCCGGGTGCCGGGCGAGGGGCGGGCGCGCCGCGGGGAGGCGGGAGCGGAGGCGGGCGGGAGCGGGGCAGCCGCCGCACCGCTGCCCGCAGATAGCGGAGAGCGGGCGGGAGGTGCTCCCGGATGCCCGGTCCTCCGCACCGGGCAGCGGGGGCGGGAGGGCGATCCTGCTGGTCACCGCAGGGACAGGGCGGCCGGGCAGGGGATGGCTGGTGATCGGGGCCGGGCAGAGGGCAGCCCGCGTGTACCGGGCTGCTGCCGCGAAGAGCCGGGGGGCCCCTCCGGCGCTGTTTTGCGGCCCTCGCCCCTGGGGAGCTCCGGCGGCCGCGGTGCGGCGGGAGCGGTTCGGCCGCGGTGCGGCAGCGGCGGCGCCCGGAACGTGCGCCCGGCGGCCCCGGGCGGGAGCGGGGGCGCAGGAGGGGATGCCGCGCTCGCGGTGTGCGCATCCTGGCAGAGCCGGGGCTTGTAAGTGCCTCTGTATGTGTGTTTACGTACGTGTGTCTCTGGCAGCGTTGCACGCAGCTTGCTTTCAAGGAGACCCTAGACTCGCTAGCCGCAGTGTACTTTGTGTGCAGCGCTTTTTCGTTTTCCTCAAGCTTATGCGTGATCAGTGGCAGCGCGAGCTTTATTTTGCCTGTGTCTTATCAGAGCTGAACCTTTGTTTGCTGGCTTGTTGCCCTTTTTCTCCCCCGTCTCCTAAATCCACATGCAACTCGAGCAACAGAGTAGGTCTCACCTGTGCATTCCTTAGGGCCAAGAACACCGCTCTGGTTATTTTAAGGAAAGGAAACATAAATTAAAAGCTGGGAAGGTAAGACTCCAGAAGGATTCCTTTCACTGCTCCTGCAGTATCTGTCCTAGCTCAGTTTCTCGTTGTAGCTGACAGTGGAAAAAATACTACTGTCCCACAGTGGCTGTTTTTATACTGCTATACACACACGTGACAGACAGAATATTGACATTCTTGTCTTCTCTTCCATCTCTCTCCTTTTAAAAAGTAGATATGCCAGTGGAAGGCAACAGAAGTGTAAAATCTGTGAAGTTGTTACAAACTCTTCAAAATATTTGGGAACGGTATATGGGGGTTGTGGGGGTGGGTCTGTGTGTTATCTGGTTGGTTGGTTTCTTCTGGCTAAAATTGACACCCTGCTCTCCTGGCAGTAAACAGGCATTCTGGATGTTCTTTTTCACTTCCAGGGAAAAAATAAACAAAAACAAACCAACAAAAAATCCCACCAAATCATCACTACAATAAACAAACAAGGAAATAAAAATGTACTTAGAAAATAAAGAGTTAGTCAATAATATTACTAGGAAAGAAATCATAAATTATGCTCCTATTTCTGTTCAGGTGATAAGACATAGAGATGTAAAGATTGCTTTTAAGTCAGTCCATGAATTTATGTAGATTCGTCATTTCAAACAGACGGTACAAATCTTTCTTTGTGCTGCAACTCTGTAATTCTACCTTTGTCAACTGAAGACTATAAACTAGAAAGATTAATGTACATTTTGTCTTCAGTAGTAAATGCTATTGTCAAATGGGGAGAACTTCTTATTCAAAGAATTGGATCAATAGTTGACTTTGTTTTGAAGCATTTATTTAAGAAGCTACTTAAAAAGAGTGAAGTTCATGCTCTTAACATCCTTAAAGAAATCTCTCAAAGGCAATTATTCTATTTGCCAATCTAGCGGTCACTGCCACATAGCAACAAAAAGCATGAAAGCTAGATGTGGAAATCCCTTTGGGTTCAGGCACTGCTTTCTCAATGGAAGGAGAACAGTAGGAAATTAAAAAGTGAAATGCACTTAAAAAAATCTATTTGAATATTTTAAACAGGCTGCTTTGAATAGGTGAAGTTTCATCTCTAACCAGTAAGCTTCAAGGTCAATGAAATGCAAATGACAGATGTGCTCCATGCCTGAAAGAATGCCACCCACTTGAGGTAACGTTTAGTGAGAAGTATTTAAAAAGTTGACCACCTTTTATTTTAATCTGTAAACTCTGTGTTCAGCAAGTGTTTGTTCAGAGGAGTGCAGCGTGTCTTTGACTGGAATAAACTACTACATTTTCAAAATACGGGAGGTTAATGAAGGTACTGTTTCATTAATGAAGGGCCTGTAATGTCAGTTGTGCACATCAGTGAGAAGACACTGAGTGATGTCAGCTAAATTTAGTCTGACACAGACTGTAATGCACCATGTGAAATTTCAGCTGTTACATAGGTCTTAAAAACCATTATATGTAAACCAAGACTCTTTTTATTTTTATAGAGATTCCAAGTAAAAGAAGCAGTATGTAATGTCCATAACAAAATTGATCCTATACTAGCCTATTATGTCTGCTGCCATGGAAATTAATTCATTAGGCTGCTGGATACACCTTAAAAGAACTTTGATTTGACTAAGTCAAGCTAATAATCAGTTTTGGTGGCTACTTAGTATATTAACTGATCACTGGAATTATTCAAGCAGAATATTGTTCTGTGTTCTGGAAACTGAAAAATATGTAAGATGTAAAGGAATGAACAACAAAAGAAAAGCAGGCATAAGAAAAGGAGTAAAAACAGGAAAAAGGAAGACAAAGCTATAAAATTTTAGTTTCCTAAAATTTCATCTTGTGTTGTTTACTTGCCTTCATTGGCTTCTTTCATCACTTAAATCCCTGTGATCTCACACTTGACATTTTGGAGTTTTAAAGAGCTTCAAATTGAGACTACTTAAAAAAAAATAAAGAAAAGCACCCCCCCAGCTGCCAGCCACACACACTGATACAACGTTAAAAGTATCTTTCTTTATTTTCTCTTATAATGGCCTGGGTTTTGTTTGGACTCTTTAAAGTACTCTTTTAAGGGTTTAAAGAGCTGCTAATATTGCATGTGGCTACTGATACACATCCCATGAAGTATGTTGTTTTTCAGAAATCCATCTGACAGTCTCAACAGAAAATTAAGTGTTTGTGTTAATATTTTCACATTGGTTAAATATGACCAAGTTCTAGTTAAATATCAAGAGAGACAGTTAGTCAGTAAGAAGTTTCTATAAAGCATGTATTTTTTTGCCCTTGGCCATGTTATCTGTGTAGGACGCTTTTTACAAAAAAAGATGGATTTTTCTTTCACATGTGTACAAGCAAGTTTCCACTCCTTTTTTCAATTTTTTTTTTTCAGGTAGCTGAAATACTTTTGATCACAATTTATAAATATGTCAGAAAAAACTGTAAGTAAACTAGCAAAAATAGATTGGGCAGTTTAAACTTTATTTAAAAGTCACATGTTGCCGTGTTACAAAGACTCAAGAATTCTACATGACTGCATGTTAAATTTATGGATAGATAACATTTAATATGAAATCTTACTTAGTTATTACAGTCTTATAAAGATTTAATGAATATGTTTTTCAGCTAGCCAGAATTTGAAATGTTTTGCTACTGTGAGCATTTCAAACTCAAGAAAAGACACGAATTCTCCCTTTTCCAGGCACAATAATCAGTGCATGGTATTTACCTTACCCTGTGAAAGGGTTACTAGAGAATTCAGTCTTTGGACTGTTCTCCAGTTTATATAAACAAAACCAAATATATAAAAGTGATCAGTAGTGTGCTAATGTTTTATATTTTAAAGAAAATGGATGCCAATAAACAGGTATGTAGTCAGGAAAAACACCAAACTACTGGATAAAATAAATAAAATCTGTAACCTTTTAAGAAAAGGCTCCTCTGTTGGAAGATGATTTGCTTCCCTGTGAATTAAACCTTTAAGCTGAGGTGATATGAATATATTTATATAATGAGTTCAGGGTCTGACCACTTCTTGCTTTCCCTGTTTGGTTAGGGGAAAAATTCTTCTTCTAAGGAAAAATACAGCCACAGGGTCAGGTCAATGACTTCTAGATAAAAAAGAGCAGCTGCCTTTGTTGGTGGGAATTGCCTGTTTCTGTTCTGGTGACTATGAAATCAACTTCTGACCTCATCCCAGCCTACAGCTTCCTAAAGGGGCACACTGGAGAGGCAGGTGCTGATCTCTCTCTGTTGACAAGCAGTAGGACATAAGCAAATGGAATGAAGCTGTGTCGGGGGAAGTTCGGATTGGACATTAGGAAAAGGTTTTTAGCTGAGACCACAGTCATCACTGGAAGAAGCTTCCCCAGGAAGTGGTCATGGCACCCACCATGTCAGAGTTCAAGAAGCATCTTAATGATGCTTGTAAGTCTTACAGTTTCAGTTTTAGTTGTAGTTTAGGAGCAGGGGGTTGGACTTGATGGTCCTGATGGGTCCCTTCTAATGCGATATATTCTATGATTCTATTCTATAAAAGATAGGGATACCACATGGACCATCATTATTATTGTAACTCCAGTTGTGTGTGGCCCCAGGTGTCACCAGTGTCCGTCAGCAGCCAGGAAGACCTTCTTATCTGTGTCAGATGCACTGTCAAATTTTTGTGTACATCACAAAGGAAGCTGCAAAGAGTACTTTTTTGTATATTTTGAGGATGCTTGAATACCATTCACTGCAATATATTGTAATTGTCATAATCCTCTGGCATTTGTCCAGAGGATAGTGCTGCCCAGGCCAGAGCTGGTTTTTTTCAAATCAAAAAAGTTCCCAAACTGATGAGTTTATGAGCATGTTGATGGGTAGCCTACTGCTGCAAAACATGTCTGAAGTTGAAACTGATGTGGATTGCATTATAAATGTTCTACTGATGTTGTTTGAGATATCATAGAATCATGGAGTGGTTTGAGTTGGAATGGATCTTAAAGACCACTTAGTTCCATCCCCACCCCTGCCAT